GCCGCGGCCGCAGCCGCTTCCGCCCTTCCTCTCCCTCTTCCTCCGCCGGCGGTCGCCGCGCCTTCCCGCACCCTCCGAGCTCTAGTCCTGTCCCCGGGCGCCGCAGCTGCTGTCTCCTCCACCCTGCTCCGCCGCGGCGCGCCGGCATGCCTCGTACGCCGCCTGTGCTCCTCCCACCACTCCTCCGCTGCGGCGGCGGCGACGGCGGTGGAGGAGGCGCGGCGCGGGCGGAAGCAGCTCGGGATGACGCCGCCTCTCTACGACTACCTCCTCGCCAACGTCCGCGAGCACCCCGTATGCCACTCTCTGTCTACCCGTTCTTGTTCCGAGCCAATTTGCCACTGGTTTTGGTTCCGACTGAGTGCCCCGTCCTCGATTTTTTTTTTCCAGATTCTCCGGGAGCTTCGCGAGGAGACCGCGGCTATGAGAGGGAGCCAGATGCAGGTGCGTGGCAATGCATAGCATGATATCGATGAACTGTTGTACCCATTTTGCTGTTCCCGTCGACTTCGTTGCATAGATGAAGTGCTATGTTTCTGCAAGAACGTCACAGTAGTAGTCTGTTCAAGTTTCAAAACTCGGAACGTCAAGCATCTCTGATGTAAAGCCGGTATTGCATTTGCGGTTCTTCAATGTCGCTTGCCATTCTCATTCAGTTCTCCAAATTGTCATGATAAGGCTGGCATTTGGTTGGACTATCGCACTGATGCTTCCACAATGCATTCTGCATACACATGCAATGAACTGAACTCTACTGTATTGTTTTGGTGGTATGCATTTTGTTGTTACTACAGGTATGTTTTTGGAGGTTATTAGGCGAAATACAGATAAGACAGATAATCCTGTTTTCCTGAGCCTACTGTTGGGCTTAGTTGCAGTTTCTTGCTATTCCTTTGAATCACCTTGGTCAACTTGTAGCATATCAAATATAATTCGCCTTGCAGTCTTTCCCTGAAAATATTATGATGGTTTCCATAGCTACTATACAGTTCAAATTTTGCGTATATTTTTCAAGAAGCAAGCTACATAAAAGTGCCCATTGGCTGTCTAATCTGGTGCCTTTGTCTTTGTAGGTTTCTCCCGCTCAGGCTCAGCTGTTGGCAATGCTTGTGCAAATTCTAGGGGCGCGGCGTTGCATTGAAGTTGGTGTGCTTACTGTATGTTAACTGATTACTTTACCATTTTGGATTTTCCTACCATCCACACCCAGTCAGAAAAACAAAACAGTAGCAATCCACTTTTTCTTGGTGGAAGTTGAGTGTTTTATAGCAAAGTAGCAATTTTAAGGCCTACATCAGCTAAGCTTTGGCTCGAGGAAATGTATAGACTTGCACATATAAAGCTTTCCATAGAACTGTTAATGTTATTAGCTACCATAAGAAATATGGTGTTTGTGTCAGTAAGCATATATGAGTGGGCAAAAATGTTCTTTGTGACAAACAGACAATTTGGTATGTCCTGTCTAGTGTTTAGTTTAGCCATGAAGTTTTCCATGGTATACGTTGCAGCATGTTGAAAGTATACTATATTTATAATCAGAGTAAATGGTAGTGCTGTAATGCTGATTCCTGCAGCTTGCATAAGCTTTCCTTCCTTCTTCTTTAACGGACAATAGGTTCATGTGTTGCAATGAAAAACATTCATTGTACACCTTGTGAAAAACAACTTCATGTATACAGAAATTCCTAAATATTCCAAATCCCATTGTCTGTCTTATTATGCTTTCATCTTTGTATAGGGGTATTCATCATTAGCTGTTGCACTAGCCCTCCCTGAATCTGGTCACTTGGTTGCTTGTGAGAGGGATGAAAGATGCCTAGAAGTTGCCAAGAAGTACTATCAACGTGCTGGTGTTGCACAGAAGGTAATTCATATGCCTGGGATAGAAAGTTAAATCAAATGTGTATGGTTTTTAAGCCAGCTTGAGATTTTTTTTGCATAACAAATTAAAGATGTTTAAAGTAGTCCAATAACCTTTTATGTGCAAATTTGAAAATTCTTCCAAGCAAACTACTTTTCTTGCTCATTTATTTTATTTGTGATATCTGTTTCGTTGTCCTTGTATTTGTTTTACATTATATTGACTATTGAGCTCTGCACAGTAGTGAATGAAATTAGGAAAAAAAATTGGTAAACTGCATATTGCATATTGTTTAGAAATCTAATCTTGATGATATTAAGCAGTAATTTTCTTTCACAACCATCTCTATGCATTTAAATCTGAAAACACTGAGTATCTGGAATTGCCCTACAATTGTAATAATTACTGTTATATGGTAGAATGAAGGGCGGGCCTGGTGCAAGCGGTAGAGTCTTACCACCTGTGACCGGAAGGTCCTGGGTTCGAGTCGCGGTCTCCTCGCATTGCACAGGCGAGGGTAAGGCTTGCCACTGACACCCTTCCCCAGACCCCACACAGAGCGGGAGCTCTCTGCACTGGGTACGCCCTTTTTTTACTGTTATATGGTAGAATCCATTTATGCTTTTGCGCTCTAAAATTTCTGTACTGATCAATGCATAAAAATTTCATAGATTGATGTGAAACATGCTTTAGCTCTGGATTCTCTAAGATCACTAATTGATTGTGGCGAAGCTTCCAGGTATGCTGATGGTTTGTTATAATCCGTCATCAACTAAATAGCCTCTTAAATTTCTAACCTTTACTTTTCCATCTTTTCTAGCTATGACTTCGCATTTGTTGATGCTGACAAGAGAATGTATGAGGAATATTTTGAGCTTCTACTAAAGCTAGTAAGATCTAACATATGTTTCATCAATTGGATATATATAAAACACATGCTGCTTTTTGTACCTTCCCCATAATGTTTTCCCTTTTTAACTCTTCATGCCACTTATAATGTTTGAAGAAATCATTTTTAAGAACCTTTGTTATCTCATATTGGTTTATAATTCATTTATATAAAATAATAGCATTTATGGACTTGGTGCTTTATGTGTTGACAGTTCTGTTTTCTTCTGTAGGTAAGAGTTGGTGGTTTAATTGTAATGGACAATGTCCTTTGGTATGGAAGGGTTGCTGATCCACTGGTCAGTTATAACGTCTTTTAGATTTACACAAGTTATGTTATATGGTACACATCATATTTAGCACATCTGGCTTTTTCAGGTTGATGACCCAAAGACAATCAGTATAAGGAACTTCAATAAGAAAGTTTTGGAGGACAAGCGTGTCGATATCAGCATGGTATTCTTTTCCCTCTCCTTGTTATATTTTGTTATTTGGTGCATTGCATTTTCATAGGATCTTTGAAAAGCCGGCACAATTTTTTGTCCTTCAGAATATTGTGATTTGTAGCAGTACTGCAACATCAGCATGCTACATTTACTGACAATGGCATTATTTTATTTGGGACACTTGCAGGTGCCTATTGGAGATGGGATGACAATTTGCAGGAAGCTAGTAGATACTTGACTTCACAACGTTTTATGTAGATGTCGAAAACTTCTTACCAAGGTCAAGCCTTGAAAGATCAAACTGATATGGGCTAATCAAGTAAAAAGGATTATAGGCGATGAACCTCGACATTGACAACATCTACAGACGCAGCTAGTGGCCTGGGCTCTACTAACTACAATGGTAGAAACAGGTGCTGCGATGTCCATTAGATGTCGATTGCTGGACTGGACAGTAACACCAGCTTGTCTATTTTTTCTGAATTGACTTTTTGCTGCTTAGAACGCTGAGTGAGCATGTCCTGCAGATAGTATAACCTGAACTCCTCAAGTACAAAACCAGCGTGTTGCTATGGTGTTCTGTTGGTAGACCTATGTTTTGATATGCACCTGTCTTCTGGAGGACAACTCAATGAACCACATGCTGGGAATTGCAGGCAGATGACATGCACTTTTACTGTAGAAGTGTGTTGTGTACCAATCCACGGAATTTCGATCGTTGGTATTCCTGAAGCTTGTTTTGAAATGCTCATGAACGTAATGGACACATGAATTTTCATGTTTAAGCTAGTGATTGAAAAATCGCACTAAATTCTTGATAATCTGTGAACTGAATGGCTGGTTGCAATTGCTCAAACAAATCTTCGAAATCATCGACCTAGTGTGGTTTACTCTTTTCTCCACAGGTTGACAGGTATTAAGCGTGGTCCATAGAAGATTAATTGTTTTTATTACTGGTGTTTGAATCACAAGCAAGCTAGAATTGCATGGGTTCACCTATTTACGTCCACCTTTGTGAACATACTAATGAAGGCACAATGTTTCACGTGCAATAAGAATACTGCACCAGTACAAAATTGTTGATATTGTTTTGCTTTTTGTACGTTTGCTGCAATCTGTTTGATGGAGTTTACCTGGATGCAAGTGGTTCAGGTCAAAATTAAGTTCAGATTCAAAGATAAAGGCAGCAATAATGCAAGGTGACTATGCCTTCATCACATAATGTGAAACTGCCAGTTAAGCAGTCATGAAACTGTTAACCTCAGGACAAACTGCAGCGATACAAATCACAACACGCACTGGGTTCTGTTAAGTTCTCACTTCAGTAGCCAAAGGGCGCCTAGCTCAAACGGTGACCCAGCGGCACTCCTCAGGTCTTGGGTTCGACTCCCCGTGGGAGCGGATTTCAGGCTGAGGTTAAAAAAAAATCCCCTCGCCCGTCCCCAAGTGTCAAAGCGCAGTGGAAGGGTCTGGCCCGGTTCTCATAGGGTTACGGCACCTCCTGCGTCAGGATGGGGGCGGGGGTTCGGGGGTTTTCTCGATCTATGTGAGAAGATCTTCTTCTTAACAGAAAACCCGGGGGCCGTCATAACCCCCCGCAGGTCGAGTTTTTTTTAGTTCTCACTTCAGTATCAAGCATCTTGCCTTTTCCACAAACTTCATTTCAAGTTGCCCTACACTATCAACCAGCTTGAGAGTCACCGCCAGATCCTATCTCCACAAACTACCCTATGCTGAACTTGTAAGGTAGATGTTTCAATGCTCTATTTCTTCTAGGCAAAAATCTAGCAAAAACTTTGAATGAATCAACTGAAGATCACAGCTGCGACGACCAGTATCATGGTTGTGAGGAGTTTGTTGCTCCATCCAGCATCGCCTTGCACCGACGACTTGCTGTTTGACTCATGGACCTGTGGCCTGCAGGGTTTTGGGGCAGAATGTGAGTTGCAGGTCAACAGTAAAATGTATCATTGCATCAGATGTTAAAAGACATTCAGCTGAGACATACTTTTGCCTCTCCTTCAGTAGACCACAGTACAGGGCATTATCCGGGATGACCATTTCAGTGATGTTGTAGCCCAGTGGATCAGCAACCTTCACATAGACCTCCTGCCCTCTGTACCAGTTATCCAGCTTTTCGGCACGCAGATTCCAGATACCAACATTGTCAAGCGAGACTAGGACCGCAGTCCAGCCCCCGGGGAAGACCTGTTTGTTCATTGCAATTGCAAATATTCAGAAATTTGTGTTCTTCAGAATTACCAATGGAACAGCTAATGTGGAGTACAGATCTTTTGGCACATTATCAGATGTGTCTTGGAAAGGTTGTATACCTGAGTGGTGCAGCGAGAGATGGCATCCCACTTGTTGTATTCATTCCTCCTGTCTGGTGTCCACTCGCCATAATTCATCCTGAAATTCACAGCAAGGTGGTGTCCTTTTCAGATGTTCACAAGCTGACATGAAACATTGGTTAAAACTGAAGATTGTGATGGTGCAGCATGTACCCAACAACAAAGAATGAGTAGCCATCAAGATGGTAGGTCTGGACATCAGTGTCATTGTTCTGGAAAACGATCTCTAGGAAACCCTTGTAGGACGCGTTCAGCGCAGATGAAGCTATCCTCGCTGGCGCATTGCTGGGCATTGCAGGGAAGTCAGTTGTGTAGACTCCAGTCAGGTTGTGGAGGTCAGCAAGCCTCAGTGGCGTCTCTGGAGGAGAGTATGACACCCTGTTGATAGTCCTCCAACGCTTTCCATTGATGCTCAAGGGCTGCTCGTTCTTTAGAACAAAGGTCTGAGTGATGTTGATCGATCCATAGTGGAATGATCCCTGTGGGTTTGGACGAGCAGCACCAGCGCTTGTGTTCATTCTGAAACAACAATACCAATGGCTCTTGATGGAGAAAATGTGAATATGATTATATCAAATACAGTAGAATGAAACAACAATACCAATGGCTCTTGATGTAGAACATATGAATATCATTATATCAAACACAGTAAAACAAATGACAACTTCAAATACAGGAGAAGAATCAGTTAAGCTAAATGAAGATCAGAGTCCACGGTAACGCAAGATCAGAAGTGAATTTCCATGCCAAGAACATAATATTGTACTCTTGTGAACATAATACCTGATGGACCTTGCCTGATTCATGGAGTAATACTTGTCGTAGTTATCATTTGGAGCATCAGGGAGGCTGCCAGAAGCCCTGCCCTTGGAGTTTGAGTACTGAAGAATGGCTACACCAGCTACTTCATGCCCTCGAGGATTGCTTACAAACCTCGGGCTTGCCACAATGTAGTAGTCAGTGCTTGCATTCTGATCCATGGTCACCAAGAAAGAATAGGACTGTCCCACATGGATGTCTAGGTTGGTGTAGTTCTGCTGATTGGTGTAGGTTCCTTCAGTCTCTACCAGACGCATGTTGTGATTCTGGATCCTGAAGTTGAGGCTAGTTGAGATGCCAACATTGTGGACACGGAAGCGATATGTTTTCCCTGTTACAAATATTCAGAGCATCAGACTTCACGCGACTCATGATAAACATGGTAGTGTTATAGTAATGCAGATAAAGATTGACTTTTTTTTTGCGATTAGCAGATAAAGATTGACTGATAAGCTGCATTCCAACTTCCATTCATTTGATTTCCACTTCGCATCAGTGACTGATAAAATCCAACCCTTTGTGCTACCAAAGTAACAGAAGTTTGAAATATAACTAACATACAAACATAACTTCGAGCATTCAGCATGGGTGTATGATTGTATAAGAAATTGCACATAGAGCTGCAAATTTGCAAGTAAAAGTTTGATCAAAGCCATACATAACCTGGCTCAACTCCAACAGTTTCATACTGAAGGCCATCCGGAACCAGTGCACTGTCATATATGTAAGGTGCCCTTCCATTGATAAGAATGGCATCTGGTACCCCTAGTTCCTGATTATCATCTAGCATGTTCCTCAGTTCCTGCATGGGATAGAATACTAAAATTACAAGAAGAAGAATATGCAAAAGATTATTCAAGTACCAAGCTAAATACTGTGCAACAACTCCATTTTCAGTGAAATCCTGTACTGCGATTCTTATTCTGTAAACTTAAAAATGAAATTAGATTCTCATCTCAGATGAACACTAATATTTGGTCTAATATCCTGCTGGTTAAGAAAATCTAAGCTTCTGTTCTATGTACAAAAATATGGTGGGAAAATCAAGAGATCATTGTGCCAAAGATCAAGAAAGTGCAATATTTTCCCTGACTAACTCTGAAACAAATAGATAGACCACCTAGATTGCATTGACAGACACAAAAACAAAGCTCTTACAACATGGGTCTTGGTGTACCAATCCCCAATGAACAGGGTGATATCACCATGAGGCTGATCGAAGGGGAGGGGCACGGTTGCACGGTTGTTGACGGTGATGGGGCCAAACCCGCCGGCAGCTCGCTGGAGGCCGAGCGACGGGAAGTAGAAGAAACTGCCGATCTGGTCCTTGAGCTGGAACTCGTAGGTCCAGTTCCATCCCGGAGGTATGGGGCAGTTGGTGCCCATAACGCCGTCCTGCCACGAGTTCATCCTCATCTGGATCCCGTCCCTGCCATTCCCATGGAAAAGAGAGTTGTGAGCAAACCAGTTCAGTTGCCACTTGCCACAGGAGAAGAAAATTGGCGCCAATGCTAGTTGAGTTTAAAAAAAAAATGGAATTTGCCCTCAGGTATTAAGCATTTCAATCATGTTTCCAAGCATGGTCTAACATCTGCAAAGTTATTTGGTAGTAATCCTGATATTTGCAAAATGTTATGCATATTTTATTTGGTACAGATATTATTCAAGAACACGGAAATCTAAAAATAACAGAAACCGTTGCATCTTCGGTCACTAAAGCAAATAATATTTTGGTATGAACTCAGGATGTAAATGCTATGTGATGCCAAGAATCACGCCCAGATGCATGCACCTGAACCAATCTGCTGGAAAGAAAGAACATGATATGCCTGTCCATATATGCCTATATGTCATGATCAATCAAGCCCATAAATGTCTCAAATGCACAACGCATATATGGCACGTTATATGCTTAATATAGGAAGGCAAAGAGGAAGCGCAGAAATGGAAGTGCAGCTCAAGATCCACCGAGAATTTCATCACCAACCCATCACTGATGGAAACATCAGATATGGCCACTGACATAATTTGACTCGTCAAGATTTTTTTTAATTTGGTATAAAATGAAAATGCATGTGTGGAATATAAAAAAATCCAAGAAAATAGGTTTGCTTCACATGAAGTCATCAGAGATCTGCTGCATCAAAATGAAGTGATCAGAGAGGCATAAGTACCAGGTGATCAGGAGGGGCTCGTCAAGGTTGTTTTGGACGTTCACCCTCACGTTCTGGTTCGTCGTCACGTTCAAGAGAGGACCCGGGAACTGGTTGTTTATCCCAATCACCTGAAGAAGAAAAATGCGTCTTCTCAGAATTTTGTGTCTAAAGCCCCAAGCCTCAACCCACATGACGAAACTTCTCTATTGTATTAGAAACAAAAAAAAAACAAAAAAACAGAGTACAAGATTGTTTGCAAAAAAAATAAAAAATAAAAAAACTTTGGGCTTTGAAATGGTTCATTCACAAAAGGGAGATCTTTAGGCAGGCACACAGGGCAAGAAATATTTCGGCCATGCGCCACCAAAATCAAGTAAAATTTCGCCAAAAAAATCTGAAGAACACATATGACAACCAAAAAAGAGTCCTTGCAAAATCGACGGCAGATTTGTTTTCGGAGGAGCCCGAGCGTTACGAAACGTTTATAAGACAACGAAATCGCAAATGAAGCGACGACGACGAAGATCGTTTCGGTGAAACTGCTCGCACGAAGAAGAGAAAATAAAGGATGCGTTTTTAAGACAAGCACTCGTCGATCGAACGAACAAACGTCGCCAAAAATCAAAATATCTAAACAAAAATATATGGCGATTCTTTTTTCTTCCCGTAAGATCAAGATCTTACGAAGCCATGAGGTGTAAAAAGAAAATAGAGAGCGAAGAAAAAACACGTAAAATTTTCCAGACAAATCGAAAACTTCGTTTTTTTCCCCGGTAGAAATCAAGAACTTTCAGACAGCTGAGACACAGAACAGAGAGAAACAGAGGTGGTGGCGACAAGTACGCGCCTTCTGCGCGGGGCCGAGGGGCTCCACGGTGAGGTACGCCACCTCCCAGCGCACCTCTGCCTGCGCTGCCGCTGCCGCCGCCGCCGCGGCCACGACGGCCGCGAGCACCACGGCGACCGTCATCGCCGCGGCCATCGCCATGAGATGGTTCTCTCGCTTCTCCTGCGCTGTGTGGCGTGCGCGCCGCGCTCTACCAACTCCCTCTCGTACGTCCTGCGTACTGCGCCGAGCCCTGCTTTGCTTTGCCAAGGTGGGTTTTGGCCTCTCTCGTGGTGTGGGTTTTTGTTGTTGGGGTTATAAAAAAGTGGGAAAGAAGGGACGGAGAGCAGAGGAGGGATAAAAAGCAAATGTAGAGAGACACAAAACCAACACATGAATGTATGTCAGCAAAAGGATCTCTCAGAGAGATGCCATCTCTTTATGTATGGCTAGAGATATATGATGATGTGTTGTGGCTTGGGTTTTGAAATTAATTGTTGTGCAAAAAGATAGGGGAAGGGGGTGTGTTTGGACCGTCTGTGGAGTATCCGACAGTCGAGATTAGGCGCGCTAGTTGCCACCTCGGAGAAACGCATTTGCGGAGTTCGGTGAATACGACACGCTGTATGTTTATGGGACAAGTCGGTTATGTAGCATGCGTTTATGGTATAAGACGGTTACATATGCACGTATGGTTGATGTACAGTTGTTGTACGTGTTGTAGTAACGCCAATATGTCTTGTACGTACTATGTCGTTATAGTTTGATGGTGAACATAGACTTAGAGCAGCTCGAGCAATCCGACCAATCCTTATCACATGAAAAAAAAACTATTTAGAGGGTCATGTGTGTGCAAAGGCAATAACAACAAATTACTTATGATGGTAAGACAACATGTTGTTTTTACACAAATGTCCTTACCTAACGATGCTCATTTTTCTTTCAGAAGAGAAGGGATTTGCAAAGCCAAACATGAACGAACAGGAAATATCAAAGGTGCATTTTATTTATGGCTAAGGATAATGGTAATAATTACAAAATAAAAAAATGCATGATATTGTTTGTGGGTTTGAATTAAATGATACGGCAAAAGATATTTCAAGTCATTTTAGGGCTTTCCTAAACTACCATCTTATTAGAAAATCACACTAGCAACAGAGTGTGTATAGTTTCTCATATAGCAATATATGTAATCTGACTAATCCTTATGTCAGTACAGAAAGTGACCAATTAGTGAATATTTGTAGTTTTGTTGTACGTTGTGATCGGAGGTGGCCTAGCACTCAATGACACAGGATTTATACTGGTTCAGGCAACGTGCCCTACGTCTAGTTTGGGTCGGTCGGTGACTTTATTCCTGAGCCCAGGTGCTCGAAGTCTGTAGTGGGGTTACAAACGAGAAGGAGAAAGGTGGGGTGTACGAGAGGCCCGGTCGGGTACGACCGGAAGGGCCGAGAGCGACCGGAACTCCGCTATGAGCTAGGTGTTTAAACGTGTGCTTGAAGGGTTGTGAGCTATCGATCTAGTGAATCTCAACTTGAAGAAGTCGACCTCCTCGTTGGAGGGAGCGCATCCCCTTTTATAAATGAACGGGATGGCTTTACAGGTGAGAGGGAGAGAGTACGGATGTTACTAAGCCTTGTTGCCCACGCCGCTGAGGACAGTGATGATGGTAGGCGCCCACAATACTGTTGATGTCACTGTAGAATGTCAGATGCACATGGAAGGTTGCGTTGTCTTCTTCACGAAGGGTAGATGTCGGTACCTGCAAAATACTGTTGGTATGTAAGGAGCCCTACCACGTGTACCAGGTATGGTGAATCCTGGCGTCCACAGTACTATCGATGCCTAGAGGCATGTGGGGGGCTCTTCGCCGTACGGGAGTCCAACGGCGCCTACAATACTGTAGACACAAATGTCGGCGCCTACAATCTTGCTTTGTGTCGTGGCGGTTGTGGAGCACCGTTTCCAGCGTCTGAGGTATGGTCCCCGTATATCGTGGTTTGACTTGTGCGCTGCTTTCTCCATTCGCCCCTGGTCCCTTCCGAGCGGGTGTCCCCGATCGGATGGCCCAGTCGGCCCTGGCCGCGCCAGTCGGAGAAGAGAGGTAAGCAGGCTTCCTACGGGGTCCCCAGTCGAAGACACGTGGTCGGAGTAGAAAGCAGCGTTTCGGGCCATGCCTTCCGATCGGAGAGACCGCCCGGAGGCGGCTGGTGTCCGAAGCGAGTGCTCCGGTTGGAGAGGTGGGCCGAAGAAGTTGACGAGCAGGTGCTTGTTCCTTTGGGTAGACCTTCTGGTCGACGACCGGGCTGTCCTTCTGGCCCGTTGTGTTTTAGATTCTTGGGCCGGCCTATGAACTATATTCTGTTTTCTTGGGCCGAGCCCTGGCGTGGAAGCCGGTCCCCGAGGGACCCCGGGTTTATGAACCCGACACCTTATATTACAAAAAAAACACTGTATAGTGGGCTCTGAATGTGCAAAGATGGTAATAAATTTGTTACCTCGGCACTATAGAGTGGGTTATGTATGTGCAAAGACAGTAACAAATTGGTTACGTCGTCGATGTAGCAATAGTAAAAACAACAGGTCGCTTTACACAAATATCCTTAGTTCCTTAGGAATGCTCATTTTCTTTCGGAAGAGAGCGATTTGCAAGGCCAGTTATGAATGAACAGGAAATTTCAAATGTGACTTTTATTTATTTATTGCTAAGGATAATATAATAGGTAATGAAATAAGAAAATGCATTAGAGTCGTAGCAGGCTTGAATTAAATGATGTGCCAAAAGATATTCCAAGTCGTGCATAGGGCTTTTCGCATGAGTGTCAGTAGCCAAAAGATATAGATATATACAGATATAGAAATAGAGCCATAGATAGATACATACACAGAGAAGAAAAAAAACTAATAAAACTGGGGGGTTAATCAACTCTTAAGAATTGAGAGGACGTTTACAAGGCTAAAAAAATCGCAAACTCCACACGAAGGAAATTAAACGCTACGAGCAAAGATGGATGGGTGTCGAAATAGAAAGAACTGAGACCAAATTTGAGAAATATTTTTGGCTCCTCCGCCCACTGGTTCATTGCTTGCTCCACCCACTGTATCAGCGTGAACCACCGGCCTGCCCTGCCCTGCCGACCCTGCTCGACAAACTTTGACCAAACAATCGGTTACACCTCCTAATCTGCATATACCACCTACCAATCAATTACTTACACACACATAATAACAATAGAGTAAAGTGCACCGGCGGTCCCTAAACTTGTACCGCTATGTCATCCTGATCCCTAAACTCGCAAATCGACCATTGAGGTCCTCAAACTTGTTCATCTGTGTCATCTCGGTCCCTAAACTTGTTCGCTTGTGTCATCCCGATCCCTAAACTTGGTTTTGAGTCTCATCTAGGTCAAAACAGGGTGATCTAAAAATTTTATATATCAAAAAATAATTCATAACTTTTTCATATGAACTTGAATGAAGACAAACTTTATATCAAAATTGAAGCCCTCGACGCGATCTACGACTTTGTAGTTAAAAAGTTTTTGAATTAAAACTGTTTAGGGTCCTAAAATATTATTATATGTTTATAGATTTTGAAATTTGAAATTTAAAATTAAATTTTGGGACACTAAATGACTTCAAACAAAAAAAAATTCAACTACACAGTTGTAGATCGTATTGAGAACTATAACTTTCATATAGACCATATCAATATCTAAGATTGTTTGATAATTTTAAATTTTAAATTTTAAATTTCAAATTTCAATACGATCTACAAAGTTGTAGTTGAAAAGTTTTTTGTTTGAAGTCATTTAGTGTCCCAAAATTTAATTTTAAATTTCAAATTTCAAAATCTATAAACATACAATAATATTTTGGGACCCTAAACAGTTTTAATTCAAAAACTTTTCAACTACAAAGTCGTAGGGGCTTCAATTTTGATATAAAGTTTGTCTTCATTCGAGTTCATATGAAAAAGTTATGAATTATTTTTTGATATAAAATTTTTAGATCACCCTGTTTTGACTCAGATAAGACTCAAAACCAAGTTTATGGATCGGGATGACACAACTGAACAAGTTTGAGGACCTAAACGGTTGATTTACAAGTTTAGGGACCGGGATGACACAGCCGAACAAGTTTAGGGACCGAAATGACACAAATGAACAAGTCTGAGGACCTAAACAGTCGATTTGTAAGTTTAGAGACCGGAATGACACAGCGGTACAAGTTTAGGGACCGCTGGTGCACTCTACTCGTAACAAAAGCATACGGTAAATTCATACATTCAGCATGATGATTGCTTCACAACAGAGTTCTGATGTTAGGTGGGCGATTGTATCCTTTTTTTAAAAAAAACGCAGGAGAGCTGCGTTTCATTGCATTAGAGAGAGAAAAAGGTCCCCATACAACTCCCTTCTCTCATACGAGGACCAAATATGAGAGATAGTGAAACAGAACAAAAAAAACTAGCCTATGAAACAGAAAAGTACATGACCAAAACTTGACCTTGATGTTTAAATTACACCAGTTAGGCCTAGGCCTTGCAGCTTCTTAGCACCGGCCAGATACCAAAGGCTATGCTCGTCTTTGAGGTCTCTCATAATGGAATCGACCGAGAGAGCCATCCCCTCAAACACACAGGCATTTCTATGCTTCCATATCATCCAAGCATCCAAAATTATTAGAGAATTTACCCCCTTCTTGTATTCTTTTTTCACTTTCTTCAAAACCTTGGCGATTGTATCCTGAAAAAATGAACTTGGCTAACTAGCACAGAATGGCTTTTGATAGCAGACAGATAATCATGTAACTGCAGCTCAGGTGATGTTGGATGGAGGGTTCTCATGGAACAACATTGGCACATTGCCGCCTGAACCAAGAAGCTGTTTGGTAGCAGTACCAGGACATTTGCAGTTGCAGGGAATATCAGGCGACAGGTTCTCATCAGTTTAGCATATCGTTTGAATCACAAAAAACACAATACACACTGCAAGTTAACGAAAACATTGGAGCGCTTCGTGTATGATCCAAAAGAAGCAAAACGTCTTTTGCACAGCATCGTGAGACTGCCAGGTAAATCACATTGGAGAACTGTGGCGAGCAAGCGAAGTGTTCTTCGAAGCAAGAGGGCAGATGTTGGTCCACACCGT